ATCTATGACATTTTTATGATTTTTAAGAATAGTATTAAGATATCCATTTTTGTATAATTGCTTTAACATTACTTGGTTATTTATTAGATTTTTTGATTGAGTCTAAAATTCAAATTACAAATAACTATAAAGTTAAAATTATTTATATTATATATCAGATTAATATTTGTATTATTTTAAAATTATCTTAGTTTTACTTTAAATTTTAATCTGATGCAGTATATAATTATTATTTCATGAATAATTATATCATTAAACATTAGTGATATTATTTAGTATTGCAGTTGCATCACAATAATAATATTAAGATTGATCTGAATTTTATTAATATCAATAACAAATATGTATTATAACTGATTTATTATACAGATCCTAATTGTTCATTCATGATTTTTTTTACTAATGTTTTTACAGTTAATATTTTTACAGTAGACTTAAAATTCTTTGTAAAAATAACAACTGTGAAAATATTAGCAAAAAGGTCATAAGTGAACAATTAGAAGCTTTATAATAAGTATTTGTTTATTATTTATTTATTTTAAAAGATTACTATAGATTTTTTTCTGAAAGGTGTTATGTTGGTACAGTCTATATAGTGTAATAAGGTTCTTTAGGCATACAATTTACAGTCTTTAATAGTATAGTTTGGTGGATATATTTCTTTTAATTTTGTTGTTAATTTAATAAGATTACTTTCTTGATTTTGCCAACTAATAAAAATTTTTTTTATTTTATAGACATATTGATATTTTTTTAAAAATGATAATTAAAAAAAGTATTTATTATTTGTTTATTTTGCCAATCCTCTACAGTATATGAAAGGATTAGTTCTTTGCTGATTTTTGACTTCATTTATTCATATTCAAGTTCAAATAGCATGCTTTCTATAAATTGTGCTAATAGACCAATTTTATTCTAAACAGAGTTAGAGTTAGTATCACAAAAAATCCAAATTTCTTAAAAATTTTGATAAATTCTAACAATCACTTCTTTATTATTAAATTTTTGAAAAAATATTAATTGAGTTTTGTGAAAATTATATGCAAAAGAGCTTTAGTATTTTTTTTTAACATAATTAATCAGAATTGTTTAATTTACTAATTCTAAAAATAGTCAAGATTATGCTTCCAATTATAAAAGTATAAGAATAAAAATAAATATCGGAAAGTTACTTTTCATATATCTCTGAATCATTATAACTTATAACTAATAGACCACCAAATCTAGTTTTTATAAAAAAAGCTTGCTGATATATAGAAATAATTGCTTTTGATAAACTTTAATATATACTACTTTGCAAGGCTTCTGATTAATATATATATCTGAATTCAAAATTATTCTGAACAACTGTAATTATAAAGTTATACTGATTTATTGTAGTTATAGTTTTTATGCCAAGATGAACTGAATAGAGAAATTTATATATTAAATTATTATGAGTTGAATATAAGATCTACTAATTTCTAGCATATAGCTCAAAATGTAGGTTTTGTACAAGTTTGCTTTGTAATATAATTGTAGCTTTGTATTTTGACATGTTATTATATTTATTAATATAAGAGTAATTGAGTTTTATGTTTAAAGGCTTTGAATTGTAATAGATAAATTACTTTATATATATATTTTTTATAAATTACAAATAGTAATATTCAATAAATGTTATTATAATTTCTAACTGCTTTAAATTTAAAGCTTTTAAGTTTAAAAGTTATTTTATTTGGATTAATTTTTATAAAAGAATGAAGTACTTTTAAATAGTTACAGATATAATATACAGTACACTATATATCTGAATTATGCTTATTAAAACTTTTAACTCAAAATAAGCTGTAACAGAAATTTTTATTAAAAAATGTCATTGATATATTTCAAAATTTCTGAATTTATTATTCTTTTTAAATTAAACAACCAAGTTCTGTGAATTCTACAGTATGAGTCTTGTGCATTGCTATTATAAAAAAATAATAAAATTTGAAATTTACAGATTTAATTGTCTATTAATTTGAAAAAATGATGAATAAGATTAAAATAGTTTATTTTTAATAAAAGAAATACTTGTAGTCTTAAAGCCTGTAATATGTATATAACAAATTTCTACTCTTTAATTAAATTAGTATTTTAAACCAAACACCAAGCTCTTTAATTTAAGTTTATAACAAATTTTAAGAGTTGAATATCTAGTTTAATATATCAAACTTAGAATTCATTTATGTATAAGTAATTTTTTTAAGAATTAAATATCTGGTTTGATATATCAAACTTAGATACAAATAATTTATTTTTTTTATTTTTATTTTTTTTTTTTTAAATATTAAGGTGAGTACTTGTAACCTAGGATTTTATTGATAGTATATTCAGTTAATGGTTGCTTTACAACTACAAGGGGCAATCATAGAAAGAGTATACAACTAGCCACTTATACAACTTTAGTTATTGTCTAATTTAAGTAGTCCACCTGAAGGTTCTACACTAACTGCTATATCTGGAACCTGCTTGTAGATTCCCTATTTAATCACTCTGTTCCCATATCCATCTATTTACCTACACTTACCAAGATGTTCCGGTCGATACTGGTTCAAATATGCCATAATCACTAAGTCTTTAAAGTGGTTTACTCATATAGGGAACTTTTAATCTTGTACTAAACCTTCTAGAATCTTCTATATCCCATTCTTACAGTTGACCTGATATTGCTATAACCAAGACCAATACTTGCAATCAAGGCATACCATTAAACCGCTATGCCCTTATAAAGTTCATTCCAACCCTAATACTAACTTCATAACATATTCTTACTACTTTGGTATTCAATTTAAGTTCCACCAAGTTGCTATTCCAGATAGTCCAGAAAGGTAGGTTGAAACCATACACTTTTAGTTTATATGTTTGTCAGCATGTGCCCTTTTCCTCTGGAACCTGGAAATTCTGATGGCCTGGTTGGTTCATCCGGTTCCTCCTCAAAGACTAGCATATTTGATCAGTTTCACAAGTTCTAGCTCTATTTCATAAATACAAATAATTTATTTGAAATAACTTACATAAAAGTAATGATATAAAATGTGTAAAGATAAGTCAGCATTATTTTATGTTTACTATACATATAAGAAATAGTATTTGATACTTTATTTATATATGATTCCAAAAGAAAAACTTGCTTGTATTTTATAATGATACTAGACAAAAGTTCAGATTAATAATTAATATTATTGCTGTAACATATATATAATTTATAAATATTATAGCAGCTGCAGTAGTGACATCGATTATCAATCTGAACTTTACAAAGGCCACCTGGTATTATTATATTTTATAAATTAGATAGACTAAATATTTAAGTTTTTTTAGTATTACTTATCTGAAAAAACTAAATATTATAATGTATTAGGATATTTTTTTTTAAAAAAGTAATATTAAATATATTAAAAATATTTTTTTTTATATTGAAAACATGTAGATTTGAAAATTAAGTAAAGTTGTATATATAGATTATTACTAATTTTTATTATTGTAAATTACTGATTCACATGCAGATCATGAATTAAAAAAAACTTTTGCTTTATGATTTGTTAATATGTCATTTGCACAATTATACTTTTATTTCTTCCAAATAACTTGTATATTAGAAATCTGTAAGAAATCCTTATCAAAAAGTAATAGTTTTATATTATTAACATTTATATTTAATATGATTTTAAATTATTTTGTTAGAAGTATATATATATTATAATTTTTGTTATTTGAAACATATAGATAACTTATCAAAAAGCTATTTTAAGTAAGTCATTGATAAATGAAGTTATAAATACAAATACTTCTACTGGATTATCAATTTCTAAAATTATTTTGTAATTTTTTTCATTTAATAACAGTTTTGCTAACTGAAGTTAATGATTTGCTCTCTTATATTTTGTAACTGCATAATATGCCCACCAATAATATGCTTGGTTAACAGTAAATAATTAATAACCATTTATCTTTTCAAAAATGATTTGCTTATACAACTCAAATGCTAAATGTACTAAATTTTCTTTAATATATATTTTAATTTCATAATCTTGAATGTAAATATATATGATCTAATTTTAATGATGCTAATTTGTTTTGTAAATCAATTTTAAAAAGGATAACACCTTTTGCAATCATAATGATCTAATCGTGACTCTGTATTACATTACTTAGAATTATCTAAAACTTTTTTGTCTTTCTTTTCAGTTCTTGATGACAATTGCACCAATAAGTAAAGGTTGTAATTTTTGTTTGCTTATTATTGTACTTATTACGATAAATATAAGAGTATCCATCACCTTTTTCGCAGAGCTTTACAATTTCATTTGCTATTAAGCTTGTATATGATTCATCAATGTTTGTTCCTAATTTGTCAATTCGGTCTGAAAGACTTCTAATTACATTAAGATCTATTCGTGCATCCTCTTCTTCATTATCCATAAGTTTTCTATATATAAACAACATCCTCGAGATCTTCAAGTTCTATGGCATTTCACGAATGTCATCTGCATTTTGCTCTTGAAGTTTACGTTTTTTGCTTTTATTTATACGAGTTAAACATTCGATACATGTTTTTTTATTACTGTAAAATTCATTAATTTGTTTTGTTTTTCGGCAAGATGAACATTCTTTCAGATTCGATATTTGGTAAGAAAAAGTTTTAGTGACACTTGCTATTATTGCTATGTTATGAGAAAAATAAATATCGTCATAGATGACTAATCATTGTATCATATTTTTTCGGTAAATGATTTTAACTCCGAACGTAACTGATTTTGGTGGTCATGATAGGTTCGTGATTTGAGGATAGGATCGGACTTTTAACAGCCCTAGTCACACAAAACCAACAAGTAAAGTTTCAAAATGATCTACAGAAATTTAGCCAATCACAGCGAAAGTCCATTATGCTAGCTGTGATTGAGGTACGTAGTCGCTTCGAAAAATTAACCCAATCTTTGCTTTTGCTAATAATATACTTTCCTTTTTAATCGAAAATGAGTAGCCGACAAAACTCAGCAAACGAACTTCCAAAGCTAGCACTTGATCTTGCAGTTCGGGCCGCTAATGAGGAAAAAATAGGAAATAAAGAAAAGGCTTTAGAATTATATACAAAAGCTGCTGAAATTTTCGTGAAGGCTATTAAAGGTTCTTTCACATTATAATTTTTTTTTTTGTTTCGACGTCACTACAATTATTTTATTTAATACATAGAAACAAAGAACGAATCACTTAAACAGAACTTGATCACTAGAGTAAATGCATTGTTTGATAGAGCTGAAAAGTTAAAAGGTTTGCTAACAAGAAATGTATTACTGTTATCGTAAAGCACTGTATTCAGTAGTCAAGGTATAAATAAAAAACACCCTAATTAACTTGATTTGTATCCAAAGATACTATGTGAAGAGGAGGATGCAAACCAATTGAATTGATCTTTAGACGGAAATTCATTTGTAAAAATTGCATTGAAATATACTCGTGTTTTAATCTTGAGTGGTACTATTCTAGGGAGATACTGAATGCAATGCTATACGTTAAGTATGGTACCAGATCTACTATGTTGATCATAATGTGTTCTACGATATTTCTATTTTTACCAATTTATTAGCATCTTCGTACAAACTTACACAAAAAGAAATTGACATACTTAAACGTACATCCTATATTAATGGAAAATCTTATCTGCCATGGTTAGAAGCAGATTTAAAAGAGGAATTTAAAGATGAAGAACCATTTTTGTATGGGTCCAGACTGTATTAGTAAAGATTATGCATTAGAATTATGAATATTTAAGGTATATTACCTATCATCTTATAGAGATCCGGACGGCACATTATCTTTATCGGATCAACAGATGGCTAACTTTGGTGCATGGAAGCGACCATTTCAAATTATGTCCAATCCGAAAATGTTTGTTACAACAATTTCCAGTTCTGCTATAAAACAGGTAACCAACTATCAGTCTTCATTAACTCTGCAGTATTTCCGCAATTAATATATCAACTTTAATCTCATAGGACATTGTTACTGATTGTTCGTTTGTCGCGTCTTTGTGCGTCTGTGCTAAATATGAGCGAAAATTCAACAAAAAGGTCGATGTTATTATCAATTTTTGTGTAATGTTAATCATGATATCTTGCTTAAATTTTTTTTTTAATAGTTAATTACAAGATGTATCTTTCCACAAGGCGACGATGGCCCTGTGTATAACCCAAGCGGAAAATACATGATTAAATTAATATCTAATGGCATTGCGAGAAAAGTAAGCGTCATTAAATGTGTGTTTATCTTATACTCAATTTATGTACGAGTCTATTCACTACTTTTGATCCTTGGTTATTTATACGTTATTTAGGTTGGTGAATAATCAATTTAAGCCATTATTGTAATTTATTCTTTTAATATAGTCAATTTATATTTCATAAATTTCCGCTATTGCTATGAATATGAAGTTATTGATGACTTACTTCCAGTGTCTCGGGATGAAACTCTAATGTGTACCTTCTCTACAAACAAAGATGAACTATGGCCTAGCATTATTGAAAAGGCTGTAAGTAAAAATTTTTAACATATGATTATATATATTATAATTGAATCTATTTCATCTAATTCCTATGCTCAACTAACATGGTAGTATATGAAATTGATGGGTGGATATAATTTCCCAGGATCGTATGTACTTATTACATTGGTTTAAAAGGTCTCTAAATGAAATTCTCATATAATTGAAATTATTTTTTGTTATAATATTTACCAATTATTAGAAATTCCGGGATTGATCTACAGTAAGTTAAATGTGTATTATTTTTTGCGCATCTTATCAACAACAAATTAAGCTTTTTATTATATATATAGCACACTTACTGGGTGGATTCCTGAGCTTATTTTTATTAATAAGTAAATTTTAGCCACTTTAATTTTTATTATTGAAGATGCTTTTTTTATTACTTTATTCTCATGAATACGCTTCATATAGTGAGGATTTCAATAAAAAGAACACATGGAAACGATTATTGAATGGTCATGAACATGGTAAATATAATAATAACAAATTAAGCTTAATGATTTTATATTGTTTATCAACATAACTGACATTTCTCGGAAAAGGCGACGCCTTAGTAACGATTACCACAGGCCACATGACCGACGATGAGGCAGAAGATGTTGGTCTCGTTCCAACACATACATACGCAGTGTTAGGTAAGAAATCATACATTAAATGCCAATATGTGTTAGCTGGAGATTGAATATATGCATTAGTATTCTTTTTATGATATCTAGATGCCCGGAAGATTAATGGTTTGCAATTATTGCAGGTGAATGTCGTCTACCGATAATTAGCTATTTAGTACCTTTTCAAACCTACTCTTATCAATACTTCATTAATACTATGATTTAGGTTAAAAATCCTTGGAGTGTGAAGCGATGGACAGGACCATATAGCCATTTAGATGCAATTAATTGGACGCCTGAACTAATGTCATTGTTAGAGTATGATCGATTACAAGCAATTCACAATGATGACGGTAAGGGTTATATTGTGCAACGTTTATAGGATTTAGCACCTTATATTGAGTAGAATTATATTTGAAATGCTACAGGAATTTTTTGGATTGATTTTGATTCTGTATGTAAAAATTTTTATTTGATACATATGAGCTGGAATCCTGAACTCTTCAAATATCATTATACATTACATTCGTGAGTGTATATTTTATAATCAATTTATTCTTTTTTTCCTGTAATTACTATATTCATTTTCTTATAACAAATGTTAGATCGTGGCCTTTAGATTCTTCAGTACTTAAGGATAAATTAAATTTAGGTGAGTTTTTTTTTCTCTTAGTAATTTCCAGATCACTGAATTTGATTTATTTATATTGTATTTAGGAAATAATCCACAGTTCTGCTTAGAAATAAAAAATGATACAAAGGAGGATTCAGCAACCCGTATTTTATTATCTAAACATATTATGAAGACTGGGAAGAACAGAGATTTTATTACCCTTCATTTATATAACGATTCTGATGGAAAAAAGGTTTATTACCCAGATGCTCCTTGGAAAAAGGTATACACAAGTTTTATATTATTGCAAGTTGAAATGACATTTCATTAAGAACAATTAGTTTTACAGGGAATATATGTGAATAGCCAGCACATTCTAGTAAGTACAATAATGTTTTTAAATGCATATATATGTTGTAGGTGGAAACGGAATTTAAGTGGATTCGGAATTTTTATATAAAATCTGCATTTTGGAGTTGATTTTGTCATATATGCACCCTAACTCTAACCTCAATTTAAATAGGAAATTCCAAATCCACTTAAATCCCATTCCCACTTACGACATATACAAATTGGTGACACCAAGGACAACTAAGCCTCGGGTTTTCAAGTTTATTATGACTTGACCCTAATCATAGACATATATGATACATGATTTAATTTACTTACATATAATATATGTCTCTGGCCAGGTCTGAGTCTGGTAAATAATAAATAATGAAAACCTGAAACCGAATTTTCCCTTGGTGTCACTCGAACGTTAAATTATCTAGATTTGCTTTAACAAGTTATATACCTATAGCTTCGTTTTAATGCACCGCCTGGAATAAGCCGATACACAATTGTGGTCGATAAAAGTCAAGAGGTCGACAAAAATCAAGAAATGAAATCCTTGGAGTTTACTTTAAAATGTTATTGCGAGTCACAACTCAAATTAACAGAAATTCAAACAAATTATCCAATTGAGAAACAAGTTTGTTTAATGTAAACTATTTATCAAATCATTACAAAATAGTTTATCTTATCTAACTTTGTTATTTTAGGTAGTTGGTAAATGGACTACTCACACTGCAGGAGGAAATCCGAGTGAAATCACATATTTAAACAATCCACAATATCGCTTATCCATAACACCCCCAAGTTGTACCTCACCCACGGATAAACTTCGGATACAGCTTATGCTAAAAGGACCGAAAAAGTATGCAATGCATGTTAAATTAGTCCGGGGTAATGGTAGAAGAATCACAAGGTAATTTAGATCTTAGTGTAATAATCCTATTTACTTGTTACACTTGTGCTGAGATATTTATTTATTTATTAAGCGTTTTGGCCAAAGATATTCTTATTCAGTCTATTGGTTATCGTTATGGGTTTTGCTATTGTGAAATGGAGGATATACGACGTAAGTTTGACAAAACAAATCTGTAACTACCTTTGAGATTAACTGTTTGAAAGTTTAATAAGAAATTTGCAATCTATTTAGCTGGCGATTATACTATCGTCATATCAACACTTGAACCTGGTCTTGTTGGTGATTACGTTTTAACCGTTGCGTCAAACGTTAAATTTAATCTGAATTCAATACCTCTTGAAGGCGCAGTAAGTTTATATAAGGTATATTATGCATAACTTATAGATGTTTTGACTATTAATTTATTATATTCGTTAGGGCTTGTTCAGGAGAGATATTCATGGTGAATGGTTGGTAAATTTAGTCTTTAATGATTTATTGATCTAGTTTACTTAAATTATATAAATTTGTAGGATAATGGGAGTAAATGCAATGGGTTGTGTTAATAACACTGACTATAATAAAAATCCATGCTATCACATAAAAGTCATGGAAATGTCTACTATAAAGTAGGTGCAAGTTATCAGAGAACTTCAATTGAATTATTACATTTGATAATTATTATCTCTATTTTAGAATTCGGCTTCAAGCTCCTGATATAAAACCATCGCCAATGCTTAGTGTTAAAATATATGAAAAGCATCCAACTAAACCTTTGGGCAATGAAGTTGGAGATTCAGGACCTTATGCAAACTATCCTCAAGTAATTCTTTTTATTCAATTCTGCATATTAATGGATGTTTAATAATCTATTTAATATATTTCAATTAGGGGGTTTGTACAGGTGATGTTACATTGCCACATAATAACGAAGGTAGAATGTTTAATTGTATTGTAAATGGTGTTTAAATATGTGAATGAAGTTTTAATTTTATTATTATTGTAGGATATATTGTTGTTTTTTCAACTTGGAAGAGAGGTGTATCTGGGAAATTCAATGCCATTGTGTACAGTGATAGAAAAATAATAATAGAAGACATTTGAATAATTAGTATTATTGATCGTTAAGTATTAGCATATAACAATTTTTATTAAAAGGTTGTGTCAAATACAAAGGTTCTACTACTTACAAAAATTTCTGGTAAGTGGTAATTATCAGGGAAATTACCGAATTACTGAATTATGTTCTATTATAAAAAAACCCCTCGAGTTTTATGCTTTTTTGTTAGCCCAAGTTAATGATAATTATTTGAAAACTTACCCAAAGTTGGGAAATTATCTGTAATGTAGGGTTCGTGTCTTTTCAGTTATTTGATAAATTCCTTACATATGATTAATAGATAATTTTTATTGTTGATAAAGTGAATACGACCTGGTGGTTGATATTAGCAACTTACCATTTACAACTTAGTGTTTTGTTAAACATTTTTAATTACTGTATTATGTTGGGTTTTTATTGAGTCTTTAAACCTGCTTATAAGAAAGAACATTGAACAGAATTTGCTTTCTTAAATTAAGACTTAATTGTAGGGTTAAAAGCAAAAATGCGGGTGAATAAATAATTTTACATTACAATAACCCTGTAGCTTTTTGCTACTTAGTTCTTATGTTTAAAGTTTATCTATAAACATTGGAAACTACATATTTATACGATTTATATAATTTGAAACTCAAATATCAATAATCACACCATCTATTTTTTCAGAAACCTCCTTGGAAATTTTTTCAACAACTTCAGCAGTTACAGCATTATCTTTGGCTAAAAAACTTACTACCACTACATGTCTATTATCATCCGTCATTTCAGGATAGCTACCAATTTTAACACCAAAATCTTTTACTTTCTCTTGAGCTTCCGTTAATATTGGTGCAATAAAAGACTCTGGATAATATGTTTTAACAAACTTTCTAACAAATTTATCACCTTTAATATATTTACTGTATCCAGTAAGCAATGCTTTAAATAGTTTTGGAACACCAGGTAAGATATGAATATTCTCATTAACAATAACTATAGGAATCCATAGTTTTTCATCAGGATAAATAACACGAGAGGGATGTGGGAATAATGCCATTCGATGTTTTGCTTCTACCATTGCTTTCGTTGGTTTTGATTCCAATGTTTTCAAGTGAGATGGTATACATTGTACTGTGTCAACCATCCTTTCTAGTGTTGGTTGATGGTAATTCAACGGAAGATTATATGCGCGAGCGATCGATAGATACGTGATGTCATCATGAGTAGGTCCTAAATAATACCTTTATTAAACTTCAGAGGATCAAGCAATTGAACAATTTAAAGTGACTAACCAATGCCGCCGCTAGTAACGACAAAGTCGTAATTATTGCTAAAACGCCTTACAGCTTCAATTATTTCCTATTAACAAAGTCTGTGTCAATAAAAAATAAAATAAAATAAAATAATAACAATAAAAATCGGTACTTCTTCCTTGTCCGGAATAACTTCAATTCTTTTCAAAGAAATCCCAAAATCAAAACAAAATTTTGCTGAATTGTCAACATAATCATGAATAACACATAATAGCGTTTATCAATTTTATGTTGATCAAACATATATTGAGTGAACAATAAAATTTTAAAGTGCATACCGAAAAATCCGGAATTTGAGTCAACAGTCTTTCCATTGAGAATCTCATCACCTATAACTAAACATGCCGACGTTTTTGGAAAAGACCTATCTTGTAATTCTGAAATCGGAGTTGTAGGAAAGATGCAACTTTTTTCATCTTTCTTCTGCTCAATCATTATACGAGAAGACCCGTGAACCGCACAATTAAACCAACATCTTGGGACGAAGCCACCAATCCGCCTGATTCGCTATGCGAGCATAAAACTTGGTGATAATGCAGTATAGACGAATTAAACTAATTTAATGCTTACCATTACATAATGTGAATGATTCGACTGACAGAATTTCACGGATTGAAAGACGAGAGCAGGTAATGAATAAAAAGTCATAGGCTTAAATTGGTAGATTCTAAAAAAATTGAATCACTTGTAATCGACCTAATTTATCGAATATCGATTATACCAAGCTATTGTACGTATATAGTAAAAAAAAAGATTTGTATACATTTTTTACGAAGCAATCACAAAATTTCAGGTCGGAGTTCATCGCAGTTGAGCAATACGAACTTCGAGATAATAAGGTGCAGTGTCCATTCACGTGATAATTATCCAATAAAATTGTTGGGAGATAGCTAGAAGTTCAGGAGGGACCGTCCAAATAAGGAAATGATCTTCCCGGCTTGCATAATTAACCCAGCCAATCAAAAAAAATTAAAAATTTAATTAATTAAAAAAAAATTACGTTTAATTTATATGTATAATTAATTAAAATTACGTTTAAATTATATAATTAAAAAAAACCACAAGAATTTGACTTTACATAATTTTTCATGCATATAACAGATTTTACAAACTATATTAATCATTTAAAGATATTTAATGCTGCATTTTATGAACCTTCGGCAATACTACATAAAAAACAATATAAATTTATATAAATTTATAAATTTATATCAAGCGATTATATAGTGCCTGATCCAAAGTGAATTCCTCTCACTTGTAATCAATCGCAAATTAAATTATTTATGCTGGATTCAATTGTGATGGATAACCCCTCACCAGTTTTAATATATATATAACATTAACGGTCTCTGCTGTTACATCATAATGTAAAATTGTTTTGAATAATTAATTTATTTAATAAAAAAAAAAAAAAAATTATGATATAGAAAATAATCACTTTGCCTCTTCAAATGAATTTGCTAAATTTTTTGTATTAACTATAACTATTTTTTTATTATCATTTAAATTATTATCTGCTGAATTTCCAACATCTTCCTTAACAAATTCATTTTTGCCTAATTTTTTTCTTATACTTATCCTTAATGTTTCAACATTTTTATTTATTTCATTACAAAGATAATTAAAACATATTAAACATTTTAAATGACATCATTTTAGGCAATAATTATGATATTCATGTCTACATGCAAGAACAATATTAGTGTCTAAAAAGTTATCATAATTAGTGTGATTACAAGAAAGGTAATTGCACAAAGTAGTAATAAAAGGTTTCTTGGATGTAATAAAGCCTTTTGGAAGATGACAATCTATTATTTCATAACCTAAAAAGACAATTTGTATAAGTTAATGTTATTAGATAAACTAATAATTAAAGGATATTTTTGCTATGCATGATATATCTTCATGAAATTATTCAAAAACAATATTACATATTTTTGAAAAAGTACATACAATTGCTTAGATGAATATGGATATTTTACTAAATTCATAAAGTATTGTCAAAAAATATTATTTTTGCAGTATTGAAAAATAAAATGAGTCTCTTTTTATAATTGTTGTGCTATAGAAAACTTAGCAGTATGCTGTCAAATAATGCTATGAGTAATTTTTACAAGATAATCATTTAAAGAAATAAAATAATTAGTAATTAAATTAATCATTGAATAATTAATTTCTTTTCAATAAAACATATTAAAAAAAAATATAAAAATGACATGTTTATAATTTCTTTAATCAAATCAAAGAAAAAGATTGTTCTATCAATGCATACAAGCCTCTTAATAAGCTAGTCAGTTGCCTTCATGATGATGTACTGTATAGACATTAAAGACTAAAGGGATTAAATTACTCAAAAGATTGGTTAGGTATAGAAATTCAATATTTTTAAATATAGAACCAAACTTTAAGTATATAATATTAGAAATATCAAGTCATGTCATATATATAATATAGAATATCAAATCAATCTACTATGACTATGGCTTCTTACTAAGTTTTTTTTTTTGTCTAAATATCTCTTTAAAAACATCATTAAATAGAAATGAGTTTTTTATAAAAATGAGTTTATAACTATTTAATAAAACATAGAGAGGTCCTATCATAGGCAAAAATACTATAACAAATAAAAAAATATTTTTATCATTAAGAAGAATCTGATATATGATGGCTTTACAAATAAAGAACTGTTTTAGCCAATTTATAACAATTGAAACTACATAATCAAAAAAATATTCTTGCATCAACCTCTAATCATGTATGATTTGAAGTGTCTTCATATAATCTTCAATATTTTTCAAGTTGTTTTCTGTAAAATCAGAAAGAATTGCATTTTTAAGATACCTGTAGTTCTTCTTTTTCTTCAATTTATTATTATAACTATGCAGCATTAACCTTTCTATAAGTTTATTATCAGAATATTTATTTATATAATTTTGTCTACAATCATTATAAAAATACTCAATATTTATAATAAATTGCTTATTAAGATGTCTAATAATCAACTCATTATTAATAATTACTAGATTGAGCACTTCACTACATGATATTGTTGATATAGAATATAGATTTGTAATGATTATTGCCATGTGTGCTGCCCAAGATGTACTCATAGTATCAGGTTGCTATTGAACATAAATATTGTAATAATTATCAATATTCAATATAAAAGCTTTTTTTGAATGCTTTTCAAGAGCCTTTTCTATATATTTTTCATATGCATTTGAAATATTTTTCTTTTTACAATCTAGTACTCTTGATATTATAGATATACCTAAATTAGCCATCATATCTAGTCTTCATTACTTGTATCTACAGAATCTAAATAACATACTATATCAAACTTTAAAAAATTAATCTTTGTATTATTTAATAATGAAAGAAGATAACATATAATCATTATTAATTTTTTTATATGTTCTATAGTTAGCTTATTATATTTAGACAGCCAAGCTGCCAAATAAAGTTAATCAAAAAAGTCTTTTAGACTTGGATTAATTGTTAAAAATTCTTTTTACATTTCATTAAACATATATATAAGGCATTTATTTCTTAAATATTTTTTCTTATAGAAGCTTTTTGTTATTGTTTTAATGTTTTTAACAAGATTAATCATATTCTTCTCATTATTTACATCTTCTGCCTCTTCCTTGTCAATAGATTTTATTTCTTTCTCATTCATTTCTTTCTCAACTACTTGTTCTATTGCTTTTACTTCTCTTTTAGCTATAATGTCAATTTCTTCTATAATTCTTGCTTATTTGATGCTTCTTCTTAATAGATTTTCTACAAGATATATATAACACTTATAATATAAATAACCCTTACATTTTCATGTTACTTTTGTCAAGCCTTTATCTTCAGCCTTCTTTTATTTATTATCCTTTAATAAGTAAAATATAGATGGCCCAGTAGTTCTGCATTCCATATAAGACTTAAATCCAGACATTTTTTACTAGGTAATTACAATATAAAAGTGGTGTAATTCAAAATAATTCACTTGATATTGTTAAAGTACAATACTAAAGCTACAAGTTTGCTTAATATACTTTTATACTTTTCATTGCATAGTGTGCTGTAATGGTCTTATAAAAAAGTATTGTAAAATGTATAAAAAATTTTTTTTACACTTGTGTAACAATATTAAAATTATTTTCAAATTTGAATGATCCTTTCTGAAAGCTAGAAGATACTCGTATTTGATAAATTCTAAAATTATTATTATATAAGGATAAATTAAAATTTGATATACTAATACAGTTGTAGTCTAAAAATTGTCATAATAAGTTAAATTAAAGATACTTATATTTATTAATAAAACTTTTCAGTTTTGAGTGTTTTTAGTAGAAAATATTTTTTAATCATTTTTAATCACTTTTTTTAAAAGTTCTCATAAGAGTAAAGGTAGAGTATTTAGTAATTGGCTAAGTTTGTTGAGTTTTTACACATTTAAATTATAAAACAAATATTAGATTTATAGATTGTTAAATCATAAATATTATACTAATATATGATTTTATATCTTTATTTAGTATGCTAAACAATATATAAAAAAGAAACCAAGATTTTTAAGATATAGTAAAATAATAGTATAATCTAACTAATAGCTAACTATATTTATTTTTAAATTTTTTTTAGAACTGTCTTATATAGTTTTCTTTATTATATTTTTCTTAAATGATAAATAAATAAATTTTTGTATAACTTTCATAAGGTTATATATAATGATTCTTTATAACTATACTAATATATATATCTGATATAGTATGCTAATTTTATATCTACTAGTTTTCTAAGCCATACTGATACACTATTATTATTATTTTTTTTTTTTGGTGTTAAGGTGAGGCCTTGCTCATATTTTTATTAGTAATTTTAGTTGTACATATTAATATACTA